TACTTGGGTTGTTACCGACATCTGGAGGAAATTTCATGTCAATAGCACCTCTAGTGATATATTTACTGAGAAAAATGCTGACGTGTTCAATACTTATTTTACCCGTTGTAGATAAAGCAGGGTAGTCTTTACGTGTAAGAGATCTTTAGGCAGCCATTTTCTTCCTTTTTTGTATGGTTTTATGCAGAAAGTGTCCAGTTTAGTCATAATTTTTAGTCTTGTGTCAAATTCCCACATGTTCAGTTCATCAGGACTTTTCAATGGGGCTTTCCTTTGGTTGGGATATTAAAGTATCCCTCCTGACTTACTGTGTTGTACCTCATCAGATTTTAGTTGTGAGAACAGTTACCCCATGGTTCACCACTGATTTAGCAAACGTCCAAGAGAAACCAGCTCTGGGCACACGCAAGAAGCTCAGACTGAGGCTGATTGGTTGTGTTTTCAACAACTATGAACAGCTACACAACTTTGTACAGCTACTATTCGAAAAGCTAAATGAGACTACTACTTAACTCAATTCACAAATTGCCTTAATGACCCAGGTTGATCTCACTGGGACAGGTTAAACACATATATTATATTGTAGCACAAAAAGTAAGGAAATGTGTATTTGTTTGATTATTTCTTTGTTGTAACAATGCTTCTTAGCAATAAATCTTGTTAATCCTGTTAATTTCCTTACATGGTGCCACATTTGTAAGGAACATGATTTGTGGAATGAGCAGACCTGAGTAAGTGGGTTGCACCTGAAAATTTAGCCAAATTTGCTCTGACAAACAGCTTAGTTTGCTGTTGACACTTGTTTTGAGCTTCTGTTTCCCCCAGGTGATGCCAATCAGGTGTCCAGTAAGGTTTATTGCCAAGAAGCATTATTACAACAAAGAAATAATCTACCAAATACTAATGTCCTTGTGCTATGTTTATATTCATAGATGTTTTATTGTACTTGAAGGTCTTGTTCTCATCAGAATGTTTTTCTCAACATTTGGTTTGGACCTTAGTTAGTCTGGCAAACAGGCCACTCCTAGTACTTCACCTGAAGTTTCAGCACCAAAGTGCCTTGATTGGGATTTGACACATAAACTCTTAACTCCACATGCTGGCAACAAGACCACTCTTTCAAATCCTTCTTACGGTAACTTCTAACAACCTTTGTACATGACGGATGAGAAATGTACAAAAGTTTCCTGGGGGTAGATACTTGGGCTTCTTGTTTTGTACTTCTCTTGTCCAGTTCTCTGAATTTAAAGACAGGCAACATGTCATGCCAAGTTATGACAAGTTTTGACAGTGGTGGGCAGCACTAATCTAAAAAATTAGTTCCACTAGCCCTAAAGCACTCTATTTAGGTCCCCTAATTCTAAAGCACTAACGTACTGAAAATTTAGCAAAAGCTAATTCTAAAGCACAAATAACCCAGTCAACCCATAAACATTCTTCAACAGACAACAAGACTCACATATTGCCATGTTGCTCTCTTAGGCCTTATCATTGAAATGCCACAGCTATATTTGGGTTCATATATTGTTAATAAGTCATCTGGTGGATAAGTGACACATATGAACAAAATGTGTGACAGGTTCAGCTTCAGCT